AATGATATGTTATTTGCATTGTGTTCTAAATTCTTTGCTAAATTAAGAAAGTCTTCAGACACAATCTTAATGCACACAAATAATAAATGCAGAATCTTGTATAATAAATGAAGCAATGTCAGTCTAAAGTAATATATATATATATATATATATATATATATATATATATATATATATATATATATATATATATATATACATATATATATATATATATATATATATATATATATATATATATATATATATATATATATATATATATATATATATATATATATATATATGTATGTATATATATTCAAATTTTTTCTATTCTTTTTAATTTTTTCTTTGAGATAATATTCATATAGATTCAGAGAAATATAAAATATTTTGATATATAGGCACATTTATGTATATAAACTTACCTGTCAAAAATTTAAGTCAAAATGTTGATTGGAGTAGATTTTTTTAAAAAGTTTAAAATGATTTGTCCTTCTATAGCAAATAAATACACCATAAATCTGAAGTTAAAAATGTAACGAATAAATAAATACAAAGAAAAACATCATACGTGAATTGAAAATCAATATACCTGATAGAGATAAGCTGTTGTGATATCTGAGTAGCAGTTGCTAAATATTGTTTTTTCGTGATAAACAAATTGTATTTATAGCAAAATGATGTCTTGAATGAATTTTGGTAAATAAATAAAAACAGTGAGTTCTAATAATGAAACTACCTGTTATTCATTTTTAACAGCTGATACCAACGTAAAGATAAGATAAAGGTAACAACATTACGCGAAAAATTATTAAAGATAATGCAATGTGTATTCAGAATAGTTATATTAAAAGCTAGGCAACACTTAGACCTAAAGCAGTAACATCGCTTGACTGGTAAGGTTGATAAATCTTGCTCTACACGTTTGCCAAGTCATTCCACTTTGAAATCATGGAAACAAAATTATATAAACATATATACTAATTTTAAAACACAATTTATTTTTTTAACGTTACTTAGCATATAAAAACACCCCATTTAACAATCTTTCAGAAATTAGATAAAATACATTTCATACTATTATAAAAACACATTTATAAAACAACTATATAACATGTATCACCACATTCACGTATTTATCAAAAAAATTTTAACTTTGATCATAATATACATGCAAACATATATGCAAACTTTTAGCAACTATAAAACAACATTTATTTGCATCAATTATTTTAAATGTAACAAAGAATGCAGACTACAATGCACGACATTGTTAATAAAAATGAAGTTATGTCAGTCAGTATATATTTACCTAAAGTAACGAAAAAAAATAAACCATTTAAAAACAAAATGAAAAATTCCTAATGAATATATATTTAGATACCTTAAAATGAAGCATAACACAACATTCTTTTGACAAATTCCAGAACAAATTTTCTAAATTTTTCTATTTCTTATTATTTTTCCTTAGAAAATATATACATTTAGATATATAGAAATATAAAATATACTGAAATAAACGAAAACTTATGTATATAAACTTACATTACCACAAATAACAGTCTTATTTTATTTACCTTTTCATATTAAATACATAAATAAAATTTTATTCTCATTATTCTTAAATCTTAGCTTATATATGAGAAAATGAATTAAATTTACTAAAAAAGCAATCAGTTTCTCTTAACTGCTCTAAAAAATAAAGCAAATACTTGCTTAAAATGTTTTAAAAAGACTAACGACAAAACTGAAAAAGTTTTCTTAAAAAAGAAACAATGTACTAATAAAACTATTTTACCAGTCAATTTAGTTCTAACTTCTTCTGAAAAATAAAAAATAAATACATATTTAGATACCTTAAAATAAAGCATAACACAACATTCTTTTGACAAATTCCAGAAGAATTTTTTTTTATTTTTCTATTCTAAATAACTTTTGCTAAGAGAAAATATACATATAGTATAGATATAGAGAAATATAAAATAGACTAAAATAAACGCAAACTTATGTATATAAGCTTACATGAACAAAAATAACAGTGTTATTTTATTTAACTTTTCATATTAAATACATATATAAAACTCTATTTTATATATAATTCTTTTTGCAAAAAACAATCTTTATCTATAAATAAGATAACGAATTGAACTTACTAAAAAAATCATCAGCTTCTCTCAACTGCTCTAAAAAACAAAACAATACTTGCTTAAAATGTTATAAAAAGACTAACGACAAAATGAAACAGTTTACTAAAAAAGAAACATTTTACTAAAATAACTATTTTACCAAACATTTTAGTTCTAACTTCTTCTAAAAAATAAAAACAGGCTATAAAAATTAGAAAAAATAAGAATAAGCAACAACAAACTAACAATTATTTAAACTTTTATTTTAAAAAATAAACAAAATCAATTCTTTTTGAAAATAAGTATATCAGCTCCAATTTACTTGCTGATTTTACTCGAAAGACCGCGTGGAATATATAACTGCGCTTAGAAAAGCTTCAAAACTAAGAAATAGTGTATTTTGCATAATGCAGAACCGTAATTAACAAAACGAACAATAGTCATTACAATGCGTAACTATGCGCACTAATAATAATAATAATATTCATTCGGCTATCAATATTTAGAGGTTAATTTTATTTAGTTATTTATCGTTTTAAGGTATTTTTCAATTCTCTATATTCTATACCTATGATCTATAAACTATAATCTATACAATTTTTAAATAAAAAAAAATTGAGTTTAGTTATTAAGTTTAAATAAGTAACCAGAATAGTGAGCAAGGCCGGCGCGATAGGGGTGTGTGGGGGTGACACCCTCCCATCAATGATTTTTAGTCGGCAAACTGGACCCTTAGTCGGCAAATCGGACCTTTTTAGACTAGTTAGTCGGCAAATGTCGACCCTTTTGATATAGGTTAGACAATCGGCAAATGTCGTAATGGCAGTCGGCAAATTTTGGAAAACGAGGACCTTTCTTTTTCTTTTTTTTTTTTTTGTCGCTAAAAGTTGTAATGGCACCCCCCCCCCCCCAACGTGACACCGACTCGCGCCGGCCCTGATAGTGAGGGAATTTTAACAAAAGATATCAAAATTGCAACAAGACGTTTCAGTTGATGTTTTATAGAATAGTAATGATACTTTGGGTGTCTATGTTATATATATATATATAATATATATATATATATATTTATATATATATATATATATATATATATATATATATATATATATATATATATATATATATATATATATATATATATATATATATATAAATATATATATATATATATATATATATATATATATATATATATATATATATATATATATATATATATATATATGTATATATATATATATATATATATATATATATATATATTTATATATATATATATATATATATATATATTTATATATATATATATATATATATATATATATATATATATATATATATTTATATATATATATCCCCGTGGGCACACGACGGAAAAAAGACGTCTTATGTACGTTCAGTTCACGTCCGCTCGATTTATTCACAATATGAACTATAATAAGACGTCTTATGAACGTCTTTTTCTCGTCCGTTCCGAAAATTAGAAAATTTATCACTTTCAGTTTTGTAAAACCTTTCTAATGGCATTATTAAAATTATTAAAAGGTATTTTAATAATGGCGATTCTTGTATGGAGAGGTCACAATTACTTATTGGATAATTGTTAGATAACATACGTGTTTTATATTGAGATATGTATATAGATAAATAAAATATACAAAGATTGTTTATATAGTAAAGAAAAACTATATATAACTTTATATGACATATATATGTCGTGACATGTTTTTTTTTACTTTATATGTCATTAAATTTTCTTTATTTTTATATATTTTATATTTTTTATGTCATATTAGATATATATAAAAATAATTAAATTTAAATTGATTAATTAATTTTTTTATTATATTACTGTATGAGTATTAAATCCTATTTTATTTAGTGTCATTTATATTTTAAGTATTATAGTTTTTTTTTTTTAAACGTAATACTTAAAATATAAATGTCAGGAAATAAAATTATAAAATCAAAATTTTATACTCATACAGTAATAATATAATAAAAATCAGTTAATAAATCTAAATTTTCATTATTTTTATATATGTTATTTTATTTTATTTGAAGTTAACTGTCAATAACCTAGTCCCTGTTACTATATTATAGATGCATGTATCTATATTATATATCATAATATGATATATATGACAATATGATATATATGAATTGATTCATATATAATATAGTAACATACATATATAATATAGTAACAAGATATAACAGTAAAAAAAATTATATGTGTAATAATAATCGAAAGTACTTTGAGTTACAGGAAAGTTCGAGTTATCTGAGGTTTGAGATATTGGGAGTTTACTGTATTCTTATGATTATTATTTTTACATTCCATCTAGATAGAATTTTGAATTTTATGCTGAAAGTTGCACTTTTTTATATATATATATTTTTTAAATTTTAATTTATTATACTTTTGCAACATTTAATAAAAATACGTATGATAAAGCTTTATTAATATATCAATGATTTAACATTTAGTGCACAAACAAATTAAATAATACATTTATTAATGTTTGAATATGATTGTTTTATGTTTTAATGGTGAAAAAATCAAAATTTTTTATGATATTTTTAGTAGAAAATTTTATAAGGATTTCTTGAAAAAATAATGACAAAATTGATAGTTTTTCGTAACTTCAAATGTTATAACTTTTCCAATTCTTATCAAAATGTATACAATTTGGTATAAAAACAAAGATATAAAAAAGACAAGGCCCCTGCAACAACCAGTAATATGTTACGAATGTATATTTGTTAATGAAAGTTTTTTGTTTTTCATTGAAATTTTGGATTTTTATTTGCAATTTTTTATATTCTAATAGACGATCATTAAATATGATAGATAAGTAGAAAAGAATATAGTAACACATAATACTCTCCTCATATGTAATGCTCTCCTTAAACGTAAATCAAATTGTTTAAACCGGATATGATAATTAAATGTTGTATCGGCATGGTTTTATCTGTCTACTTTGTTTTTTCAATTTGGTTGCCAGCTTCAACCCAATTCTTGATTTAGAACTATGATTTTGAACTAAAACATTTCCGTGTTGAATAAAATACTATTTATTCTTAACTGTATTTTTTTTGAGGCTTCAGTTATCAAATGTTGGTGGTAATTTTAGTTATGCCACTGTGAAAGCGTCGATTGTTAAGTATGTGTTTACTTTTTGTATTTTGTTTTGCTATGCAAATAATTTTTAATATTAATTACTTAATTATTAACTAAAAAGTTTTATTTTGTTAAATTATTTATTATGGTTATTGTTTATCTGTATACATTACACTATAGAGTATATGTAAATGCATGTGCAATAGCATAGGTTGTATTTTTTTATGTATTCACATAAGACATTTTCAAGCACATTGTTCAATCTGCAAACTTAATTATTTTTATCCTTATGCCGAATGACAACGTTTTGCCCTTTCCCATCCCTGAATGTGAGGGAAATGAGTTCTGTAAATAAAAGTATTTTATTTAATATTAAATTAAATTTCATCAACAGGTTTGTAACTTTATTAGTATTTTAGCTTTCAAAAGTTTTGAACATATTAAGATTAGTTTCCCTCCTTAAATGAGGAGGTTGCAAATTGTACATCATCATAACTTTTGAATGCTAATATGAACTCATTTCCCTCATATTCAGATATAGGAGAGCAAAATTTTTTTGGTATTTTAGTTTTCAAGCACCTATGTATTATTTATAACAAATAATAGATTACAGTTTATTTTTTTCATTGTCATTCCAGGAAGACATAAAAAGTTTGAAGTATGCACAAAGCCTGAAAGTGTCAAATATGGAACCTAAAAAAACCTGCCTTTGCCACTAACTGTATAAAGGTTTTTTAAGGTAAGAGCTTAAATAAATTAACAGGAAAAAAATATTATAAGTTATACATTTTTATACTAAAATAGAATAAAAATATATATTTGTAATTTCAGTTTTTATTGTCACAAATATTAAGTATTTGTCACACAGAATACAGATATTGATGTCTGTCGTCTTTAATGTCATTAATGCTTTATCTACTGTTTTCTTTTTGTGCATGACCTAATTTCTTTTCATATCCATATTTTTTAGGTCTGTTTGTCAAGCGTCAAGTCAGGTTATCTTGCTACTGGTACCATGTAGTACATCCTGTTTAAGCAGGTTGTACGCCATCCATACGACGTTTGGGCATCTGTTTGTAAAATATTGCTGCAAATCTTTTTGAGAGAGTCATTACTATGGAGAACCATCTAAACCATACAAGTGTGGAAACATGGATGTAAATCTTAAACACATTTGTGATATATAATTGTAGAATGTTATATGTTATAAGTTTGGAAATTATATTCTGCTAAAAAAACTTTTTAAATGTATTTTAGCAGAACATACCTGGCCCACATTTGATCCTAAAAAACATTCTTTTTGGACCAAATGCTGGCTGGGTAATTTGGACTTGTAAATGAACTTATATTCATAATTTTTAAACTGCTTATGATCTGATCTGATTTTATTTTTGTCATTTGTTTATTTAGATTAATGTGAAATAAACTGATGAGTTTATTTAACTTAGCTGGTAAAAAAAAAAGTTTTTGTGAAATAAATTTAATGAAGACAATTATAGGTATACCTGTTAATGTAATATATTTTGTATTGTATTTATTTTGCTTGTTATTTTGCTTAGTTTTGACGAATTTTTAAATACTGCAAACTCACACTCGCACAAAAATCAACTGTGAACTCTTATTTAATCAGTTTCAAAAGTTGACTTTGAAAATTTTGTATAAGATATTATAGCTTATTTATTAGACTGTGTTTTTAGAATGAAGTTCATTCATTTGCTGGCAACATTTTTAAACGTGGTCCAGATCGAAAAAATTTGGTGCTAGAAATTGTCGATAGTGGAAGTGATAAATGCATTGAACCTAATTTGTAATTAATTTCTGTAAATAAATTTCACTTTACTAATTTTTGTGTTGAATTCTTGTTTTTCTAATGGTATTTGAAATTAATAAGTCTATAAATTAACGTATAAAAAAATACGCACCAAATAAGACCTATTTATGGCATTCCATACCTAATGTTTTTCATTATTTCTAAACTGTAACTTAAACTAAACTCAATTTCTTAGTCCTATCGGGACGTCTTTTTTATGTTCCTCGTAAGGCGTCTTTTTTACGTTCCTCTCAGGACGTCTTTTTCACGTTCCTTCTGGGACGTCTTTAAAACGTTCCACGCAGGACGTCTTTCTGTATTTCCAAATCCAACCAATATAAGACGTCCGACCGAGACGTCTTAAAGACGTCTTAAAGCTGTCCGCGTGCCCACTGGGATATATATATATATATATATATATATATATATATATATATATATATATATATATATATATATATATATATATATATATATATATATATATATATATATATATATATATATATATATATATATATATATATATATATATATAAATTATGTTTATATAAATAACTATATATACAACCCACAATATTGTGGGTTGTATATATATTGATTATTCTATATAACCCACAATATTGTGGGTTGTATATATATATGATTGTTCTATATAGAACAATCATTAAATTAAATGAAACTAAACAGTAACAAGACCCAGGTATCAACATAAGTAACAATCTGAATAAATATATATACAACCCATGATAGGAAAAATCATCAAATTGAATGAAACAACACAGAAAGGAGACCTAGGCATCAATATAAGTAATAATCTGAAATGGAAAGACAACATTACAAGGATAACTAAAAAGCCTACTCAAAATTAGGTAGACTAAAGCGGACATTTAATTTCTCGTCAACTGACTTCTTTACTACGATATTTTATCTCACAGCAAATAAATATATAATTGCTACTATAGAAGGATTACAAAAATCCTACTCTGCAAAGATTTGTAATATCTATGCTGGAGAAAAAAATAAATAAATTGTATATATATATATATAAATGTATATATTTATATATATATTTATATATATATAAATATATATATTTAGAAAAAAATAAATAAATTGTATATATATATATATATATAAATATATTTATATATATAAATATATATAAATATATATATTTATATATATATATATACAATTTATTTTTTTTTTCTCCAGCATAGATATTACAAATCTTTGCAGAGTAGGATTTTTGTAATCCTTCTATAGTAGCAATTATATATTTATTTGCTGTGAGATAAAATATCGTAGTAAAGAAGTCAGTTGACCAGAAATTAAATGTCCGCTTTAGTCTACCTAATTTTGAGTAGGCTTTTTTAGTTATCCTTGTAATGTGGTCTTTCCATTTCAGATTATTACTTATATTGATGCCTAGGTCTCCTTTCTGTGTTGTTTCATTCAATTTGATGATTTTTCCTATCATGGGTTGTATATATATTTATTCAGATTGTTACTTATGTTGATACCTGGGTCTTGTTACTGTTTAGTTTCATTTAATTTAATGATTGTTCTATTGTGGGTTGTATATATAATTATTTATATAAACATAGTTTATATATATATATATATATATATATATATATATATATATATATATATATATATATAAATATATGTATATATATATATATATATATACATATATATATATATATATATATATATATATATATATATATATATATATATATATATATATATATATATATATATATATATATATATATATATATATATATATATATATATATATATATAAATATACATACATTATAATGTTTACATGATGCATACATATTTATTTTATATATATGTGTGTGTGTGTGTGTTTGCGTATTGATCAATGTTATATACTGTTGGAAATATAGCTCTAAAAGGGAATAAAAAATTTAGTTTTACTATATCGCTTTGATTCGGTCAAGTATTGCATATTTGTTGCAATGCTAAACTTGTATTTTTTGTAATGGTTTTTTATGTATGTATATATAAATTATGTTAGTGTATTCTACAAATAGAGTGATGTCTGCAATGTTCTTAAACAACAGAGCAATCAGGGCTGTGGAGTCATGGTGTTAGAGTTGCAACATTGTTAGTGGAGTCAGAGTCGGTAAACAAAATCGCAACTCCGGCTCCAATAGTAAAACTTCTCGATATTACATGTTCATATACAAATTATTTATCCTTTAAACAACTTTTCATATATTTGACAAAAAAAAAAAATTTAATTGTCGCGTAATGTTTTTAAAAGAATTCAAAGAAATGTTTATTTAAATTTTATTCAAAATTTAAAAAATTTTGCTTTGGAGTCGGAGTCGTTCTCTAAAAATTCCAGCAAATAAGAATTGGTACTTTTTTTTCGAACTCCACATGCCTGAGAGCAATAATAAATTTGTAATAACACTTATCTAATTCTCTTTGACAGTTTGATTCTCCATCAGTAGGTTCATCAGGAAGCTTCCTGATGAACCTACTAATGTAGAAACAAGGTGACAAAGAGAATTATATAAATGTTTTTTATCAATTTATATATATATATATATATATATATATATATATATATATATATATATATATATATATATATATATATATATATATATATATATATATATATATATATATATATATATATATATATATATACATCTTCTTGGGATCATCTACCTTTATAAGACAAGGCTTCACAACATTCTGAGTAAAAATAAATAAAACACAATATTAAGTTTTGTATAAAAAGCTCTTCATTAGATTAAAAATATATAAAAAATAGTATAATAACGTTAAAATTCATCATTTGTTTCTCAGGAAAGCCTGCATCAGCATACTGACGGAAACAGTTATCTAGGTCTCCAAAACTTCTGAGATTACCAGATTTCAGAACAGCTTCTCGTCACACCAGGGACAACTGTATTTTCCACCGTGAGTCTATAAATATTTTTTAGTTTAAAAAAATATTTATAGATTTTAAAAAAATAGTTCATTTAAAGAATAAATTGTAGTTATTTAAGTAATTTAAATACCGAAATTCCCAACAAAATATTGATGAGTTTGAGGTCTGATGCCAGAGAATATTTACAGGTATGAAGTTGAAGTTTGCAGCTCCTACTGCAGTAGAAATCGCTTAAAGATTCTTTGCTCCATTTCAGTTTAACTGATGTTGAAAGAGGTCTTCCAGCTTTAACCAGGTACAGATTTCTTTTACAAGTAAGGCATAGTCCAGCTGGATACTTTATAACCTTAATACTATAGTCATCATGACAATGCTTTACTATGAGCTTTTCCAAACTTTCTGTAACTGGAATACACTTAGTGTTTTTAGTAAAGCAACAAGCACAAACCAAAAGTCTGTTCAACTTATGAGATTTTTTAAACTTAAATCTCCTTCCTTTCTTCGATATTAAATAAGGCATTATGAACTCTGTAAATTTAATAGTTACTAAAGTATCTAGAGTAAATTTATTAATAAACTTTAATTAAATAAATTTAAATACCAATTGCAAACTTTGTTTAACTCAAATTATTCATCATTACCTTTAAATAACTATAAACAATGAATAAATAGTAATTAATGAAGTAAAGCTAATTTTATACCATAAACTATACTCTTTTGTATAAAAATACTTGCCCAAAAAAGTGAAGCTAAACAAAAAATGTTTATTAAAAATAAAGGGGCTTATGATATTTAGACATTTTGAAGGCTAAAATCTTTTGTATACAAAGTCACATGGTATTATATGGTTATAAAAAAAAAAGTTGTTTCCAAAAAATAACTGTGATTAAACCCAAAAATTTGAGGCCACCTGCCCTAATTGGGAGGGGGCCAAGTGCATAAGAAAAATATTTTTGTAATTTCTTAGACCAAATTGAAATTCGTTATAAAAGTTTCAAGTTTCTTAAAAAAATTTTATGTACTTTAGAAGTTATGGTCATGTAAAATTTAGAACCTCCTCATTTTTTTGCAAGGGGGAGGGGGAATAAAACGTTTTTTTGTCATAACTTTTGAACTGTATTATATATTTTTTAAAAATTTGAATTCTGTGAATAAAATTTCATTTACTATAAGATTGTACAAAAATATTTTTCAAATTTTTTTATTTGCCTTGTTTGGGGTTGGTGCCCCGAAAGCGTTCGGGTTACGACGTATTTTCTATGTTCCCAAAATAATTTTTTCTTTTTTTTTAGGCAGAACATCATTATTTGATATTAGTATTAGTATGTAAAAATTTAAGGTTTTTAGGGTTTCTGGAAGTTTGTTCACTTGAACATGATATTTTTATAGGGCCGCCCCCTTTAAATGCTTTTTCTAAAAATGTGCCACCTGCAGGATTTTAATTTTTACAGTTTTGTGTAGCCTCAACGCTTCTTAAATAGAATCTACAAAAATATTTGGGGTGTTCCAAAATCAAACCTAAAAGGTCAATTTCTGACCTGTGTTAAACATGAACTTATAAAAAGTATATGTGTATCCTTAACAACTATAATTTACATATATAATAGATAAAACGCATCTTGTATTTATTATGGATTGTTTTAAGTTTCTTACTTTTGTTAACTTATTTTTATTTTTTAACCTTGTAATTATCTTTTAAATTTTAACACGAACATTTCTAAGCGGTACTCGACGACAAGACCGTATGGTCTTCTACGAGTCCCCGCGTTCTTTTATTTTCTAATAACGACCATTTTATTTATATATAAATTTATTATTATATATTTGTATTTAAAATATTGTAACGAAATGCTTATTTTACATGTAATAAAAGAAAAATATATATATATATATATATATATATATATATATATATATATATATATATATATATATATATATATATATATATATATATATATATATATATATATATATATATATATATATATATATATATATATATATATATATATATATATATATATATATATATATGTTCGTGTATAGGTAGCGAATCTTTACAGTTATTGGCGTTAGACAAAAACCTTATAATTTTTTTGAACTTTACTTGTTTTTTTTTTTTTTTAAGTTAAGCATGAAACTTAAGATTTTTTTGCATTATTTAGTTTAAATCTACCTTTTCCAACCATTTATAGAAAGTACTATTTACTACTTTATATACTATTTATATGGCTTCACTTATATATTTTACTTTTCAGAGTTTTAGAGAAAAGTTATGTTCCAATTTGCTGAAATTAAAAACATTTTAGTAAATAAAACTGCTCAGTTCTCTCATGATCCAAAAAGTTATAAGCAACTTAAAAGTTCAGATAAACTTAATGTTTTGAAAAGAAAAATTGCAAATGGAGATATCGAATACATCACTTTTGTATGCCCTAGTTTGATCTTTATAGTTTATATGTTATATTATTACAATTTTTTCTTTTGAATTGTCATGAACATTTTCAATGTTTCTTTTGCATTGTTTCTTTTTAGGTAAAACAGTTATCATTAATTGGCGGTAAAAATTAGTTGATACAATTAAAAATATTTTGAACTTGTAAGTAATTAGCATAAGTTTAAATTTTAACATTTATGTTTGACAGCATGACATTTATTATCTTTTTTATATGTAGACTGACAACACTATTTTTAGAATGCAGCGTGAATGGTCTAAAGAAGAAAAAAAAGTTTAAAAAGTTGACAAGTCTATGTATCGCTATCACTGGTATTCTTATTAGCTTATTATTGTGTTTAATTTACTTTTAAAATTAAAAAGGAATCTTTTAATAAAAAAAAAATTTTTTCTTAATTTCTTTGGCTATGGAACATGACATGTATTTTATTTTATGATCTTAATGAACTATGTCTTGTTGTTTTCATTAGATGCTTCTTCAAATTCAAATAAAAGCTTAACCAAAATGGATCTCATGCAACTTATTGGAAGATTAATTAGGTATTCTTCTGACCCATTCAATAGAAAATCCACCAATATCGATATCGATAAATGATGGCTTAATTCAATCTTCAATCAACTGTTGTTTTTTTATTTATTTTGCATTTTTCAATTATTTTCGTTTTACTTATAATATACTATCGATTATACTGTACAAAGTATATTAGTTTTTAATTTGAAAAGTGTAACTTTGTTTGCATAATTTTTCTAAGCTTTTGTAAAACTAATAATTTATTTTAAATATATGAAATTACACTTTATGAACTTTGATTTCTCTTTATACCTTGAGTTGCCATCTAAGGTGTGTATTGCATATCTCATTGCATTTTTAAAATAACTTATAACTATTAAAAGAATGTCTAGATAAATTTACGTCTCTAGGACGTCTGATTAAGACATCCTTAAGTCTTTCACATGAGACCTGCCAGAGACGTCCATAGGACGGCTGAAAAGACGTCTCTAGGAAGTCTACAATAAACGTTCCTAGGACGTCTTGAAAAGACGTCTTTAGGACGTCTGGAATAGACGTCCTCAGTTCATTTATTTGAGACCAACAAAGGACGTATTACGGACAAGACTTGAGACGTCTTATAAACGTCCTTAGGACGTTAAAATACCCGCTGGGTAGCTACATATCAAAATTTTAAGAACAACGATTTTATTGCGATATGACGCTAGGTACAATAGCCAGTAGATCTTTAGCTTACTAAGCTAGCTGGCCTCGTAGCCAAATTGCTCTCTTTATCTTCAAAAATATTGATAGCTTTTCTCTAACTTAAAAAAGCTAGCGATCCTCGTGACCACATTGCTGTCTTTATCGTAACGATTATAGCTAGCTATAATCGTTTCGATAATTTCCCACCGGGTTATTTATTTTAACTTTGAGTTTAAATAAATAACATTTTCTTTTAAGACTCAAATTTAAAAAATACTTTTCATTATATAAAAACAGAACTAATTTATCTTAATGAGTGGTTAATAGCAAATGAACTTTCGTAACCTAAACTTTGTAACCTAAATAAAACTTTAATGTCATTTAGGCTACAAATATGGTAAAAACCATATGGTGATATATCTAACCTAACCCTTATACTGGGATCGGGTAACGTTCGGGTGGAAATGTAATGCTTAGGGGAACCTCAAAGTTTGTGGATGATTCCAAGAATTAATATATTATTAATATTAGTTTATGAAACATGACGAGAATATAATTATTTTGCGGGTGCAATTGTGTTACATTGGGTAGGTTGGGCAGAAAAAACTTTAAACATAGTTTACAATTTCAAACGAAATAAACTTAATTATACTAGCAGAATAAACTATAGACAACAAAATTAAACTATTACTTAAAATGCACAACAACATAATTACTCAGTTGATTTGGATTAGCGAGTTTGAAATGAGCAATTTAGGTGGCAAAAAACTTATCAAAAATTAATAAAATTTCTTTAAATATTGCTTTACTTTATTTCATTTTTATAATTTATTTTTATATTTTTTATGTTTAGTTTTTCTAATTTAAATGTTTATTGAAAATTATTTCAAGCATTTTCAAACTTTACATTATTAGTTTATATAACATGTTTAATATATTCTTGCCCACCCGGGAGAGGTTTGATACATCGGGCGAGAATATCTTTATTCTGCGGGCGACATTGAGTTATATTGGGTTTGTGGGGCAGAGAATAATTTTACACATAGTTTGTCATTTTAAACAAAATAAACTTTATTATACTTACAGAAAAAGTTATAGACAACAAAAGGAAACTTAAAATGCGCATAATTATTCATTTGATTTGGATTTGCTAGTTAAAATTTTGCAAAACAGAAAGTACAAAACTTGATAGATACTTCTTTAATTACGATTTCTTTGAGGTCAAGATTGTTTTGATCATGATAAAAACTGGTTTGCTGCTCTAAACAAATGCTTTGTGTAAATTTTTGGTGCGTTGACTGATTTGTACGCAATCAAAGATTGTTGACTGGATTGAGTCATGAGCAAATCAATATCAAGTTACCCTAAATAAAAACGTATAGCACTAAATTCTGGAAATTATAATTGCAGTTTATGTAACTAAAAATATCTCGTGTATTTAAAATTATTTTAATCTTAATTAAAATATTTTCAAATACATGAGCATTCTATGTTTACTAATAATTTATTTGTAAAAAAGACATTGATGTCAAAAAGAATATTTTGGTAAAAATGAAAAATATGATATACTAATAAGAATATTGTAAAGTTAAAAGAAATTTCTAAGTGTTGTAAGTTATATCATAGATCATTTATAGATTAAACTAAAGACTGTAAACAATCGAATATGAATACAATAAGATTTCGCTAATCTTAAAATTTTAAATTAATCATAAACATTTAAATTAATTTTTTGTTTGTCTCATAACTTCGTTTTTATATTTTTTGGTGTTTGATTTTTTTTACATGTATAGTTAAAATAATCAAATAACTTAAAGTCTTTTTTTTTTTATATAGTTATACAGAAGTTATACAAGGGATATTGAACTTATAGAACCTTTAAAAAAAAGTAGTAAATGAAATTATTTGCATAATAAAGTTTTTTTTCCTAATTGGATAGATGAGTCATTTTGATGTATAATCTCATGTGATAGGAAAGAATTGCGTAACGTGGAAATCCACATTACGCAATTCTTTCCTATTGCTTTACTATGGTTATTTTTATTTGATGGCGCCAATATCTTGGCTTTTAAACGATGAGAGATAATAGTCCAAAACTTTAATACGTCATTGTTCAGACTCACTGTGCTTTATTCGCTTAACTTCGCTTATTTCTTTGCTATTTACCTGACTTCGCTATTTACCTGAATTTTATCGTAATGAATTATATACAAACTATTAATATCGTCTGCTTTTATTTTTGATTTGTATTAAAGAGTGCTTATTAGCAAATTTTATGGATTTTTGTTTTTGGATTTATTTTAAAAAGAAGAAGAAATTAAACTTCAGATGTTTTTTTCATACTTGAAAGAAATTCTTTTGTTGAAGCACGCACGTACTCCGTTATATTTGTTGTCTTCTTGCTAATTTGTTACTTATTTTTATAAACAGGTGATTGAAGTATGCATATTTTATAATTTTAAAAATATACATAACTATTCGTAATTAAATTACAGACACTTCTTAACAATTAGAAAAATTTTTCTTATAAAGTTATTTATCGAGTTTAGATCTTAGTTTCGTACGCTTAACGCAAAAAACAAAAGATGTTTTTTATATACAATACTGACTGCTCAACCTTGTAATTTTAACCTATACTTGTGTTTTTACATTTAAAAAATAGTAATCAGTTGATATATGCTTGATATCTTCTGATTATTATAAATTTTATATAGACTTTTTTGCAAAGTTTAAATGCTTTTTATTGTTTTTTTTTTTTTTTTTTTGTTGTTTCTTTTATATCTGGTCAAACGTTTTCATTATTTCCAGGCCCTAGTGACAATTTTTTTCCGGGGTGTCCCACCCACTAGCTAATGCATTGCCGCTGGTAATTCCATACATAAACCTTCTAATATACGTTTGGTTACTACATTCTACATAAACGTACAAATTACCTATTTCTGAAAAACCTAACAATAGGTTAGTATTTAGATTTGTATTAAGTCATAAAATGTAAAAACTTTTATTTTAATAAATTTGTATATATATATATATATATATATATATATATATATATATATATATATATATATATATATATATATATATATATATATATATATATATATATATATATATATGTGTGTGTGTGTGTGTATATATATATATATGTGTTTGTGTGTATATATATATATATATATATATATGTGTGTGTGTGTGTGTGTGTATATATATATATATATATATATATATATATATATATATATATATATATATATATATGTTTATATATACACACCCTTAAAGTGCTAAGAGAAGTATATTTTTCATTTAAATTCATAACAATAAGTTTTACAGAAATAAATCAATTTTATACCAATATCTGATCATTAAGATCACTTATTACTAATAATATTGTTTTTTTCTATGAATGAGTCATGTAGTTATTTTATTTTTAATCACTATGCTAAAGGCAATTGATAGACTTGCATGTTTAATTTAATTTAAATTCAAATAGTTTTAAATTCATTTTAAATTAAATTCATTTTTAGTGTCATCTTTGAAAATCCCATTCTGAGTTAAAATACATAAGCTTTATCTAAAGAATTTTTTTTTCTAAAGTGAAATGTAATCAAACATTTAAATTGAATTTTTTTTTTTATCTTTTTATAAAATTTTAGAACTCGATTCAACTCATGATATATTCATTGTATAATATTATAGATACTTCAAAAGCTGTTATTTCAAAATTTCAACAGCTTTTGGAATAAAATTGGTTTAGTCACCTATTGTGAGCAATCCATTCTTGCATTAAAATGGAAATCACGTTGAAATTAATTAGTTTATTTACGGTTGGTTAGGTACATATATATTGGAGTATTTATTTATGCATTGACATTAGAAACTTAGAATGAAGTAGAAAACAACAGTAAATTTTAAGGATGAAAAAAATTTCTTTTAAATATGGCTTTATTTGATGAGAAAATATTGTATGATATCTGGTTATTTCTTTAAATAAATGGGTTAATATTTAAGGTAAATCGTCGTTGTAAAAACTTTTTTTTTTGACTCATTGCTTTATTAATTTTTAGAAAGTTTTTTAAGTTAGATAAAACAAAAAATAAATTATTTAATTTGGGATATATTAATCTAAACAGAAATATCCCAAATGCAATAATAACTGAATTCTAACTTTTTCTAAATTATATAACATAGTATTTTGTAATATAGTCATTTATAAGCTATCCTGCGTGGTCGGATAGCTCAGATGGTTAGAGCGTTAAAGGAAAAGTTAAAGCCCGCACTGTTGAACGATACGAGTTCAAATCCCGCCACCGCCAACTCAGTGCTTGAGTAGTACTTCGGTACGCAAAAATGTTGGTCAATAACGGACTCTACTTTGGATTAGTCTTAGTGACTATTTGTGGCTGTTCCTATGCTAAGCCAACAATATCTTTGGATTTAAGAACATTGTATAGAAAAATATAGCATGAAAACTCAAATAAAAAAAATAATAATAAAAAAGTTTCCCATTTGTAATATAGTTGCACAAAAATTTATCTTCCCATAAATTTTTGAAGACTTTTCTCTTTTTATTTCGCACTTGTTAGCTCTCTTTAAAGTAGTTACAATTTTTCTACAACAAAAAGATAGAAATATTTTTTTTAGGCAGCTTAAATAAGTCAGAGCGAAACAGATCAACTCCTGCCTAAAATATTAATTACATTATTAATTTTTTCCATAAAAATTAAACTGCGCGAGTTTTATATATCTCAAAAAACGACAATATGAGTTCACCGGGAGCATAAATAGTTTAACCTCTTACAAAATAAATTAAGCTATTTTTTTAATTTACGTATATTAAATTTGAGCTGTAACCACTTTTCAAAAAAACACATTCAACTTTATGTACTTATTTTTGTTGATTTTTTCAATATTATTTAGAAATGACTTAAGTGCACATAATCTACTAAATTTTTTAAGCATAAATGCAGCGAGTCTTTGTATTGCATCAACTTACTGTTTTTGTGAAATCAGAAAATACGATTAAAATTTTTACTTCAATCAGAAGTCAATCGTAATTTAAGAATATTTAAAGAACTTTTATTGACAAAGTATATATTGGATTAAAAAAAAGTTATCATTTTATCATTATGGTTATCATATCAAAAGTATCGAAAACTTTGCAAATATTTCTAAGAATACTTATTTTGTAATCCACAAAGCATGTTATTTTTCTTGTTCATCACTTGTTATGTTTTATTGTTCATCACTTGTTATTTTTTTCTTGTTTGTTACTTATTATTTTTTCTTGTTCTTTACTAGTTATATTTTCTTGTTCATTACTTGTTGTTTTTTTTCATTATATAAAGATAATTTTGACAAGTTGTAATTTGTTTACAAAATTTGACCTTTTTTATATTTCAAGATACAGTTACTTGTACTTGAAATGGAAGTTACAATATATGGTCCAGTCCAAAGCTTAACAAATTTTTCGCCTTTTTTGTTATCACATCTACTGTTTCTTAGCAATATTTTTTGGTTTACGCTAATTTCAGAATTAGAAGCAATTTTCCTATGAAAATAACTTTTTTGTATTTTTTGAGATTTTTCAATGTTTTGATCAAAACATTTTGTGCTTTATCAAAAAGTTCATTTTTCATTTTGTTTCATTGCATGAAACATTTCTGAAACTATTTTTTTGTTGTTGTAAGAATCATTTAAAATTAATTAAACTGCAATCGAAATAAATGGCAAGAACTGCTTCTTTTGGTAAACCAATCAAAGTTGTGAAAACCCAGACTTTTGATTGCTAACTCTCAACGAAAACAAAACACTATCAATAATATATGGCTATTCTAGACCTACACCTTAACTAATGCACGTTTTATCGGTTGATTCTGTAACTCAACTAAGTCATTACCTTGAGGATGGTGTGCATTCGCAATTCTTTGAATTGTCCCTGTTTTTGTGTAAAGCTCTTTAGAAATTTCATTTAAAAACTCGTTGCATTTATTTATATTTTGAAATAACCATGTCAACATATCTATTTATGCAAAAATAAGGCCTCTTATCTAGCAGTTTTATCAGTTAGTGCTTCTGCTTCAATCCATTAACTGAAGTAATCTACTAACACAACCAGGTATTCATGACAATTAAATTGTTGTTAGTTGTTCTTATTAGTTCTTATTATATTCTTCGCAAGGTCATCACAGGTGGCGGTCGTGTTTTTTTAACCGTTGAAAAGACAAGCAATTAAAAACTGAGTAAATATCAATTGTTTCAAATAAAGAATTCAAAAATATCAAAAAAAAAAAGAGTAAAAAAAAAAAACTTATTATAAAAAAAGTAACTTTTTACAAATAAACGCCAGAACAGTTTTCATTTTATAATTGGAAAGGTAATATTTCCATAATTGGATGCTTAAACGAGGATTGATTTTAGAAATAAAATGAGGTAAGAAGGCGCAAATACTAAAAAAATACTGCCTATTTTTTTTATAATAAAAGGATCTTCAAAACTAAAAACAACATGACTGAAATGTGTCAAATAACCTTCACGCACCCCTCCCCCAACTAAAACTACCCCAAATCTAAACTCATATAGTAAGACCCAGCCTAGCCGTTACGCTGGCTATACAATAATCATCTTAAAGATGAACCCTGAAAAATATGTTGTTAATTAATTGAAACTAAGATATTTAATTTGCAAATCCCACTTTCCCCAAAAAATAAAATATTTGCGAGAAACTTTTAGATTAAATTATAATGTAATTAATGTCACCAGAAAGACACGTGTTTAAAATATTTGGAAACTAAAAATCTACTTTTGACACTGCGTTTGAATTTTAGATTTTCATTCCTGAGATCTTAAAATAATACGCCATTGTGATTTGTTTTTGGTTAATTAATGACTCAGTTGAAAAACTAAGAGATACAAGAAGATTACTTGGTAATTTGAACATTTTCTCATTGATAAGTGTATACGAAAACAGAAATAAATAAAGTTATTTTCCTTAACTTGCTCCAATTGAATAGGGTAGAGCATGGCATATCGGACAGTTGGGCATAACGGCAAAGTTATGCCTGAAGCCTTATATCTCAGCTAAAAAAGTTTTTTTTTCCAAAGTTATTTTTGATAAAACATTCTAAATAATTATTTTTTTAATTGTAAAAAAAATTGATTTTAGAAATACCAAAATGCAATAAAAGTACTAAAATGAATCGCTAAGCTTGCGAAAAACAAAGTTAATTTTTTTTTTTAAGCGATTAAACGATAAAAGATTTATCGTTGATGACTTTTGTGGAGCATATCAAGACAACAAGTTATTTATGTAATTGACTATATTACTATTTTGTTTACAGTTTGATGACTTTATTTTTAATCTAAAATACTATTTTTATTATTTAAAAAAGCAATATTTGTAGTAATTACGAAGGGATTATTTTTATAACTTCGATTCTTAATAGTGTTTAATGTAAACATTTACAATAAGAAAATATATAATTATACATTACTAAACAGATAAATAGTTCGAGATTTCTGGTCGCGACAAGCTATCAAGTACTATGAAAAGCCGAAATATCATATAAATATATATAATTTTGAAAAGCGTTTTGATATTGCATTTAGTTTTACATATTTCATTATTTTTTCTAACGTTTATAATTAGATTACACATTGACAGAATGTTTAAACAATATTTAAATTTTAAAATACTTAAAATAATCCAAACAATTCAGAAAATAAAAAAAACCACTAACTTATCATAATATATTATGACAACTTTTTTTTGTTTGTATTTTGGTTTGAAGTTTAATTATTTATTATTGTTATTTAACTATCTTATTAATTAAATAAGAGGCCATTCATAATTTACGTCACGCAGTTTTTGTGACAATTTTTGTCCTTTTTTCTCCCCCTCTCCCTCAAAACGCATCCGTAACACTTTATTGATCCTCCCCTTAATATTACAAAAAAATTTATAGCCCTGCCCCCTCCCCCCAAAAAAAAATTTTGAAAAAAAAATTTTGAGGGAGGAGAGGGCAAGGGGGTGAGAAACTTTACAAAATACAAAACGGCTATTCCACGTTGTCACGGCGTGACATTTGACTTTTACTTTGGGAAAAACATCAGATTTTAGCGCATATGAAATTAAAAATTTAAAAATTATAGATACTAAAAAATTTTCTAAAAACAAAATTATTTAGTTTTAATATTTCATAGACTTTTAGGTATACACATTAAACAGTTGAGTCACGACGTGACAAAAGTTATCTAGCATTTTCTGTCATTAGAAGAAGTGACAGTGGTTCAGCTCTTGTGGATATTATGAAATATTTTTTTGTTAAGTATTGGATTCTTAAAAGGTATTTTATTATTTTTAAACATTTTGAAAATGTTTTATAAATTTAAATGGAGACACAACATAAATATATCAACGGAGTTTACATCACACCGTGACGTCACGGTGTGACCAGTGCAAAATTTTTGAATATTAAGACAATAATATCATCAAAAAGACAGTTGAAACAAAAGAAACCAATTTATTCGGATTTTTATAAGATTTGTATAACAATAACATACTTCTACACAATCAAAAAGACGAAAATCTTCAAATTTTCATTTTTTTTTATTATTTTTAAGATTTAAGATCAAAAGGCTTTAAGATCAAAATTTATCACAGAATCTTAATTTGTCATCTAAATTAAAAAAAAAGGAAATTGAGGTTATTTCAACTTATTTTAATGTTGGTATAGTTTTTTACTCTTAGCAACGCCCTTAGCAATCATGTTATAGAATTATAACACCTCTATCGCAAGTTATTTCTTGTGTAATTCTCAACTTGTTTTCAAGTACTCTTTATGCACTTAGCATAACTAAAAAAAAATGCTATCATAAATTTCAATGATGGTGTTAATTGTATTGGAAATATTTTGATTGTTTTAGTATTCCGCGTAAAAGGTTTTTTGAAAAAAAAAGCATTAAAAAGTGGCCATTATAGAGCTTTAATTCATTGTAAATAGTCATCTATTATTTTAAAAACACCGGGAAAAGTAAAAAAGTCTAAGAAAAGAATTTATATTTAAAAAAAAAGACACTAAAGAATGCGAACCTTATAGTTCTGGATCCCTTGAGTTAGTTCTGTTTTGCTTTATGTTAATATATATTGCCTGTTTTTTAAAACTGTTTTTTCACAGAATGTGATTTTTGTTGTTTTGGTTATACCGTTACATAATATCTTCACTAATACTTTATGAAACTTCTTGAAATTTTCCACAAATATTCGTTACTAATATAGCTACAAAATGACCTTCATTGAAGTGTCTCGCTTATTCAGATTTGTACTTATGAAGTTTTGAGTTGGCGAGTAAAACTGTAAAGTTCACCAAATCTTATGAAAATGACTATATTTTTGCAAGTTTTGATAGTTTGAACGTGAAAGTGGCACATATTGTAGTTTACTTTGTTATAAAACAACTGAGCAAATTTCAAAGCTTAACAGTTTCCCTATGATAAATAATCGTGTAAACGGCTTAACCTCTTTATAGGACCAAAACCACCTTTTTTTTTATCAGAATTTAAAAAAAAAAATTATTTCATTTTGTCTTCATTAGACTTATATTTGTAATTAATGTTAACTATTTTTGCAATTAATGTGTTTTAAGAAAAAAGTTGTCTAATTGTGTATAAGTAACAGTTTATTTACAATAATTTTAAAAAAAATCTTGTAAAAGTCAACTACGTTTTTTTATAAAATTTTATGTAGTTAACTAAGTATGATGCACTTGAATAAAGTTTCATTTCTATTTTATCATTAAATTTTTTAAAGCAATGGGAACTAAATATTCCAGGCGTTTTACAAGCATTGTTAATGATGTTACCAAGTTCTGTGACATCAAAAGAGGCTTCAATTTTTTCAGCAGCAATCATGATAACGTTTATTTGACTTTCATCTCTGACGGCTTTACAAAATGCTATAGCGTCATTAATCATAGCTTCTCTATGATTAATGACGCTATAGCATTCAATCTGTTTAATGTTTGCTAGCTTCAATCTGTTTAATGTTTGTTTTTTTTTCACCCCAAGAGTTTTGTGTAAATTGTATAAATTAACATTGCTCTCCTAAACATGATACCAATTTTGAAAATCTAGTTTTTCCGATATATCATACATGCAAAATATTATATATATATATATATATATATATATATATATATATATATATATATATATATATATATATATATATATATATATATATATATATATATATATATATATATATATATATATATATATATATATATATATATATACAATCGATAATAAATAATAATGTATTATACATGCAAAAATTTTATTTTATATATACAAATTTTTTTACTAGCAAAGCAAGGGTTCCAAGTTCGGTAGGAGACTTTTTTTTTGGCACTGTTTAGTTAGTTCACAAAGATTGTTTTTTTGCTGCTGTGCACTTTTTTGCTCCAATTAAATAAGGTTCTGCACTTGATCCATATAAAATAAAATTTGTTGTACTTAAAATTTGTTGTACTTAAAATTTGTTGTACTTGAAATTTGTTGTACTTAAAATTTGTTGTATTTAAAATTTGTTGTACATAAAACTTGTTGTACTTAAAACTTGTTGTATTTAAAATTTGTTGTATTTAAAATTTGTTGTATTTAGAATTTGTTGTATTTAAAATTTGTTGTATTTAAAATTTGTTGTATTAAAAATTTGTTGTATTTAAAATTTGTTGTATTTAAAATTTGTTGTATTTAAAATTTGTTGTACTTAAAATTTGTGTACTTAAAATTTGTTGTACTTGAAATTTGTTGTACTTAAAATTTGTTGTATTTAAAATTTGTTGTACATAAAATTTGTTGTACTTAAAACTTGTTGTACTTAAAATTTGTTGTACTTAAAATTTGTTGTACTTAAAATTTGTTGTACTTAAAATTTGTTGTACTTAAAATTTGTTGTATTTAAAATTTGTTGTATTTAAAATTTGTTGTATTTAAAATTTGTTGTATTAAAAATTTGTTGTATTTAAAATTTGTTGTATTTAAAATTTGTTGTATTTAAAATTTGTTGTACTTAAAATTTGTTGTACTTAAAATTTGTTGTACTTAAAATTTGTTGTACTTAAAATTTGTTGTACTTAAAATTTGTTGTACTTAAAATTTGTTGAACTTAAAATTTGTTGTATTTAAAATTTGTTGTTTATAAAATTTGTTGTACTTAAAACTTGTTGTATTTAAAATTTGTTGTATTTAAAATTTGTTGTATTTAAAATTTGTTGTATTTAAAACTTGTTGTGTTTAAAATTTGTTGTATTTAAAACTTGTTGTATTTAAAATTTGTTGTGTTTAAAATTTGTTGTATTTAAAATTTGTTGTACTTAAAATTTGTTGTACTTAAAAGTGTTTTTGTAATTTTGACTTGTGTATTATTTTAAACATTATAATTCGTATATTTTAAACATTATAAATACTATATTTGTTACATTATTTTTAGTATATAAATAAAAAAAATATGTTATTAAGTTGCCCCAAGAAAGAAAATAGTTTCAACAGAAAAATAAAAAAAGATTTATATTATAAAAAAAATTCTTATACTATTTTGGTTTTTGTGATTTTATTTTGTCAATTCTTTTATACTAAAAAATTATACTACAAATTCTTGTTTTATTAAAGTTCTTTTATTTTTTTTTATTTTTCTTTTATCTATTTATTCTATTAAAGTTATTTTATATTGTTTTATAATATTTTATTTTTCTTGTTAAAAAAATCAAAACACTTTACGTTTACAATAGGGGCTTTATGATAAGACTACTGTCTTCTACTTGCTCCTGTCATTCTTTTTATTTTATACTTTATTTTAAAGCCAGTAAATAAAAACTTTGTAAAATGTTTATATATGATTTGCAAGAAATTAAGAGCCTTAAAGAAAAAGATGATCCAAGTTCATTAGATACTAGAAATTTAAGTTGAACAAAGATATAACAGTTGGCAGAAAAAGCGTCGATCCAGGTTTAAGAAAAAAACAAGAACTTGAAGCAGAAGATCTAGGGTAACAATAAATCAATTGATTTTAAATCAATTTAAATAAAAGTTTTCACGCTTAGACACTAAATATTTTCTTGTTTATCGTTTATAAATACGCAAACATTTTTTTGAACTACTGGCATTAGCTTCAATAAAAAGGCCTCTGGAGATCCAATGAAAGTAGATTTTGTTGTTCTGTTTGCTCTTGTGAAACATGCAATTGAGAAAGTTAAAAACACGGAGATAGGTTTCTTGAACAAAAAATGAATAGACTGATCAAGTTTGTGGCCAAGTTAGAAATAGCAGAATGAAAACCTTTTACAGCTTTCACATTAAATTCAAACTAGAATAATCATTTTTGATGGTAAAGTTTTTAATGGTCATAATTGTGAAATTAATAATCCAGCATTGATCGGATATAAACCAGTTAATGAAAAAGCTTTTAATCTTTAAGACTTTTAACTCTGATTTGCTTGCTCAGATCTTTTAAGTTAAACTTTGCGTTGAGGAGACAAGACGGCCATTAAATTTTTTTTTTCCAAAATCCGCGCTGAAATAAAATAAATAAAATTGTGAGAGAAGCTGTGTTTTATAGCTAATATTTCCATAGGGTTTTCGTAACAGTATTGATGGGAACACTGCAAGAATCACATTTAAAAATGATGAGATTTTTGCTGATATAACCAGGGCCGGGTTAAGTACTTCGTGGTCTCTCGGCACTTCAGGCTTTTTGACTCCTGTTAGCCTCCTAGCATTTAAATTTAAAAGCTGTTTAAAATTAAAAATCTTTGTAATTGTTGCGCTATGGCTTTATAATGTATTTTCTTTTGTATTTAAACAAGCTTCTCGCGTTATTTATTATTAAAAACACTTTGCGATTAATATTAGTTTTAAAATACCTTTTGTCTGCATTTTAAGATTACAAATGCTGATTTTAGGTCAATGGAACCCAATACCCGGTTTTTTATTTGAACGAAAGAAAAATTTAAAAGACGTTACTAAAAAAGCTTCAAATGGAAGACATTCGATCAATAAGTGATCAGTAGGATAAAAATCAACAACATGTTGCACACTGCAAGTATTTTCCAAGATATCCATGCTGCGGAGATTCTTAATCATCTTGTAAATAGAATAACCCTTTTCAATTGCCTAATAAGCATCAGTACGAGCTAACCAACGAGTTTGTGAGAGAGTCTAGGAAACCTTAACACGTATTGCATCAAGGAACTTTGACTTTAAGATGCGTTGATGCGTTAATGCAAAAAGTTTTGATTTTAAAACATCGATGCGTTGATGCAGAAAAGAAGTTATAAATTTTTTGAAGAAAAATAAAGAAACTAACAGCAACTCCGTTAGATTCCGGGGCAATAGCTCCTACTAGGTTCAAATAGTGAGCAGCACACGGAATCTATTCGACAAGAACGTTGATTTCTTTAATTCTTGCTTGAAAACTAAAGTAGATACCAGACATATTACTGGAATTGTCGTATGGCCATAGCCATTTTGAATGTTGTTTGCATACTAATCTAATTTTTCAAAACATTTTCAAGCCTGGAAGTTGCAATATGGTTATGCATGGGAATAAAAGCTAAGAGCCGCTCAACTGGTTTTTCGTTGTGTAAATTGAGATTAGAATCAACGATGACTGTTACTTAAGGTTGATAATATTAACAATAAATTTCATAACCTCGGTAGCTATTAATTGAATGAGTTCTCTGTAAATTTTTTTAGATAAGTATGAGATAAATCTTTTCCTTTATTTCCATAAGTTATATTGGTTACCTTGAAGTTTTGTCAATGTGTTGTAATAAAAAATCAGATCGTTATTAATAACAATTCTTCTTTTTTTTTTTTGTTTTGTTTTGTTTATAGAAAAGAAGGAAATAAATTTCTTAGTTTAATTAGTACATTATTAGTGCACGTTTTGGTTTAAGGCAGATAAATTTTTTTTTTTAAGTGTTTGCGCGCGTAAACAACTCACACACATACGTGTGAGTATAACGCGCTTTAGCTAAACTCAAACTTTATGTTAAAACTTTATTATAAAAAGATGTTTAAAATTAATTTTAAAGACACATTTTACTATTTTATGTGGTATTTAGGATAAAAAAATTCAAATTTTAGCTTTAAAGTAATATTTTGGCGCGTAATTAATACTAACTCACGTACGCGCAAATTGTACGTATCTTAGGAACGCGTACTTTTTTTTTAATAACAGCTATAACAAATAATAACAATAATTTAATAACAACAATAACAAACTTAAATTTTCTGATCCAAAAAACGCTATAAAATGATTATTTGGTTATAGTTTTTTTTTTTCTTATGCATAAGGCAAATATTGCAAGAAACTTTTATAATAAAAAATCAGTTATTTATTGTTTTAATGATAGTTTCTCTAATAGTTTTTCCTAATAGTTTCAACTTATACTTATAAAAAAATCAGTTGATATATATTTGATCTATGCTTTTTATCTTAATACCTAATGAATTTTCTTTAATGATTTTGAGGCTCTTATAATAAGATTTTAGTAATAAGATTTTAGTAGGGGACCTCGATTTCACTAGCCACGACATTGCTACTAATAATTCTGTTTTGAGAACTACATTCTACATAATTGTATGTAAAATAAATGTATGAACTACATTATACATAAATGTATTAAGTAAACTTGATAAACCCAATATGAATTGACGAAGCAACAAACACATCGTTATCAACTTTTATTTGCTATTAATTTTTATTAAAACGTTCAATCAAATGCAAAAACATTTTGTTTTTTTAAGTGTTGATTGGGTTCTGTAAATTAAAGTAATAACCGTTTTTATTTGCTCTTAAATTTAGGAATCAAAATTTGAAACATGGATCTAAGAAAAAATTCTTTTTCGACTTTGCGTAAAACAAAAATGATTTGCATATTCATGACAGCTATAGCGGGTTTAACACTCTTTCTAACAAATGCTGAAGACGTTTTCCGCACTAATACCGACAAAGAATATAAAAACCTGACAATGTTAAGTATTGCGACACAATATAGACTTTATTTAAATGGCAGCAAAGTTTTAGAAAACACCACCAACAAAGAAAATAAAGCACTTGAAAAAGTAGTTTTAGACTTTGTTGAAAAAAATAGTTCAATAGTTTATACAACAGTTTTTCTAATTTCTTCGCGAGTGAATCATACAGAAAGAAGAAATTTAATTCGCGAATCGTGGGGAAATTCTTCGTATTGGAACACAACTGAAACATATTTAATTGTATTTGTTGTAGGCATAGTGACAGAAAATAGAATTATGAATAAAACGTTAGCTGAAGCAAAAGTAACAAAAGATATTCTTTATTTAAATGTTACAGAAGATTTCTACTTGCTCGCTGAAAAAGTTATAATTGGATTAACATGGGCAAAGAAAAACCTTAAATTTAAAGCTGTCTTGAAAGGCGATGATGATGCTTTTATGAATATAGATAACATTCTAGAGTTTATAAATCGTAACAACGTGATAAACGGGTACTTTGGAAACAAATTAACTAATTTACAAGTTTTACGAACTGGTCGGTACATGGTAACTAAAGAAGAATGGAACCCAGACTTCTTCTATCCGTACTGTTCTGGCGGCGGTTTTTTGCTGACTAACTCTAGTGTTTATAAAATGATAGAAATATTTGATTTACAAAAAAAATTTCGAATAGATGATGCATATATTGGTGAGGTTGCATTTCAAGCGGGTATGTTAGTTATTTAAAAATTTATTAGAATATTTATAATAATTGAACTATAACTTTTTGTTCTTAAACTTTATTTTATTTTTTACAGTTTTTCATTAACAGCGTGAATAACAAGAATATATATAGTTATTTAAAATACTTCATTGAAGCAACTTATTTAAGCCACTCACAGTTATTTATAAATAATTTAACTATGTAAATTTTATACTTGTTAGGAATAACAGTAGATGGTGTTAATGGGTTTTATATGTTCAACTACGGGTGCGAGTATAGAAATGATATTTTGGTTTCGCACCCTTCAACAGATGTTGGATGTAACACCTTTCTTCTAAAGAGGCATTTAATTGACAAAAGAAAAATTCCGAGGGATTTAAAACTTGAAAGCACTAGGTGTTACAGAGATGTTTTAGATTGTTAGTATTTGTTACCTTTACATATTTAATTTAGTTTAATTATTGTTAAAAAGTACACTCTATTTCAAGAAAAGACGCAAATTTTTTTTAAATATATACCTATATATCTGTAACTATCTTTATGTCTATGTATATATATATATATATATATATATATATATATATATATATATATATATATATATATATATATATATATATATATATATATATATATATATATATATATATATATATACGTATATATATATATATTTATATATTTTTGGGTGGTTCTAAAACAACATTTTTTAGAAAACGTCTTAATGGACCCCCTAAATGTGTTCTTTGTAATAAATTAATACTATATTTAAAAAATATTTGAATAAAAAAAATATTTAGGGGTCACTCAAGACCCTTAAACATCAGACGGATCCCTAATATTTGAAAAAAAAAGTTCTTTAAAAGCATGTTGGGTCTTAAAGGAGTTGCAATTTAATAAAAATTTTAATTTATTTTTAACAAAAAATATCTATTTTTAACAAAAAGTATCTATTTTTAACAAAAAATATCTATTTTTAACAAAAAATATCTATTTTTAACAAAAAATATCTATTTTTAACAAAAAATATCTATTTTTAACAAAAAATATCTATTTTTAACAAAAAGTATCTGTTTTTAACAAAAAATATCTGTTTTTAACAAAAAATATCTGTTTTTAACAAAAAATATCTGTTTTTAACAAAAAATATCTATTTTTAACAAAAAATATCTATTTTTAACAAAAAATAAAAAAGTACATATACTCATAGTTTCTAAAATTATTTTTTTAGTTTGTGTTTTAATAAATTTATTTTTAGAATCTTTAGAAAATTTCACTTCTTTTGAGACCCAACATAATATGTTTATTGAGAACTTTTTTTTAAAAAATATTAGGGACCTCTCTGATGTTTAATATTATGAGCGATCACTAAATATATTTTTTTAAGCAAAAATTTTTTAAATGTACTACTAATTTAATACGTTGAACGCACTTAAAGGGTCCCATCAGATGTTTTTAAAAAATGTTGTTTTTAAAACCACCCTAACATACAGTATTGTGAAAAAGTTAGAACCACAAAATAAAATAAAAAATTTTTTTCAAATAGAATTATTTAATTTTTATTCTTAAAATAATAAAATAGTCTTTTTTTTTTAACATATTAAATAGAACATAAGAAAAAATGAGATTTCAAACAAAAAAAAATTCTTTTCTCTTGAAAAAATGAGCAGAAAAGCTATTACCTATGAAGATCGTGTAAAAGTAGTGCATTTTCATCAGGAAGGTAAAACCGCTCGTAAAATTGGAAAAAAATAAAACAATTACTTAATTTGGTGCTAACAATTATCAAAAGATTCAGAGAGACAAAATCTTACGTTGATCGCCGTCGTTCTGGAAGACCGCGCTTGACGACACCCAGTGATGATTGCCTTTTATTCTTGTTGGCAAAGAAAAATCGAACCATGCCGTCGCATGAATTAAGAAGGGAATGGAAGCTCTCAAATGAAAGTCAAGCATCGACATTACTTGTGCATAGAAAACTAATAGCTAATAATATGGTATGGAGAAAAGCTGTTCTAAAACCGCGAATTACCAAACAATATATAAAAAGTAAAAATAATTTTGCTAAAGTGTCAAAGGATGGAATAAAGAAAAACGGAGGACAGTGATGTTAGTGATGAGATGAATATCGAGGTTGATAACATGATGATCGACTTATCTCTATTTATTACGTCGATATTTTAAATTCCAACTTGTTCCCATCAATAGATGTACTTGTGCAAAGCGTTCCGTTCATTTTTCAGCAAGACAATGCACCATGTCGCAGGGCTAAATTTTTCTTTGAATGTTTTGAAAGCAAAAATATTAGGCGTCTAACTTGGCCATCAATTAGTCTAGATCTAAATTGCATTGAAAATCTTTGGATTTGGCTTGATAAAGAAATTGTCAAGAAAGCACCGAAGATCTTTGAGGAGTTGCGCAATATTTTACCAACAAAACTTGGAAATGTTCCCTATTATAATTTAGAGAATTTAATAAGCTCAATGCCAAGTCGTATATATGAGTACTTTAATAATTCATGGTAGAATTAAGCGGTATTAGGTAAAAATTACCGTTTTATATATATATATATATATATATATATATATATATATATATATATATATATATATATATATATATATATATATATATATATATATATATATATATATATACATATATATATATATATATATATATATATATATATATATATATATATATATATATATATATATATATATATATATATATATATATATATATATATATATATATATATATATAAGAAATAAAAAAAAGCATATGCTCCGCGTGATACAAATTTTTCTAAAGAAATTGATAGTGTTCATTTATATTCAAAATTGAAACATACGGTATACACGCTTTTGTTTTATAAGTGAATTGAGTCTTTTTTTTTTATCAAATAGAAGGAAAAGAGTTGTTATTAGAGACATGGCTTAGTTTCTCAAGTGGTGTACCCCAACACTGAGTTGCGGGGCCAATATTGTTTTTATTCTATATCAACAATCTTTCAGATAAACTAAAAAATATATGCAAGCAAGATGATATCAATAATCTTTCAGATAAACTAAAAAATATATGCAAGCTCTATGTTGATATCAATAATCTTTCAGATAAACTAAAAAATATATGCAAGCTCTATGTTGATATCAATAATCTTTCAGATAAACTAAAAAATATATGCAAGCACTACGTTGATATCAATAATCTTTCAGATAAACTAAAAAATATATGCAAGCTCTATGTTGACATCAATAATCTTTCAGATAAACTAAAAAATATATGCAAGCACTATGGTGATATCAATAATAACTTTAGAATGAAACCCAGATTAAGGTTTAGAATAAACGTCCATAAAATCTTCTTTATTTAAACGTATTTTTGACGGAATATTACACGCAAATATATGCAAACACTATGTTGATATAACAAAATCTAAACGCTTTATGTTATAAAAATTAGTGCAACTTAGTGCTTCCTTATATATTTTTTAGTTTAAAAACGCTTTATGTTATATGTTATAACATAATGCGTTTAGATATCAACATAGTGCTTGCATATGTTTTTATAACATAAAGCGTTTAGATTTTTTCTAATTTACCTTTAAACTTAGTCAAATTAACGTATATAAAGCGTTTAGATTTAGTCAAAGTAAACTTATAGATCTTTTCTAATAGTTTCTTTGATTTAGTTAACGTTATTTCAATTTTTTTAAGTTTTCAAACTTATATAAAATAAAATTACGTTATAACTTTTAAACTTTATATAAATAATAAGAGTTATATAGGTCTTGAAATTTATAAGTAAGATATAGTTATAAAAGTAATGAAATTTATAAAAAAGATATAGTTAAAATATAAATAATAAGACCACGTCTTTCAATATATATAAAAGACCTGGTCTTATTATTTGTATTTTTTATAACTATTATAATATATTTATAAACTTTTATACTATACTATTTATGCTATAAGTTTATTTTATAAAACTAAATATAAAGTTATAAACTTATAAAAAACGTTTCCATATAGTAAGGATTTAGAGAATAAATATATGTGCACTTGTTCATGTTTCAATAATTAAAAAATAAAATGATCAAGCTTTTTGCACTGGAATTTTTATAGTAACAATTTCTATCAAATTTTTTAAATTTTAGCTCATCAGCAGAAAATAAAAGTTTACAATAAGATTGAGTAAAATAAAAATTTACATTAAGATTACTAATAAAATTAATAAACTCATAAAAAAATATTTTCGATCACTGTTTTCTCTGGTTTATGCATTATCAAAAACCTGTTTGTGAAACTTATCTTCTACATTCGTATCCTAACCACCTGATTTCGTAACCTGATTTGTAGCCGAAAAAACTAGAGTAAAATAGTTAGCACTTTAAATTTACATTCATAAATCAAAATTGAATTTAAACGGAACAACTTTTCATATGGAGGATTTTGTGAATGGAAGTTTCCGAAATTTCCTGTACCATACATGTTTGTTTTTGACATTAAAATATTAGTAACGTTGCGACATACGTATTGGTAGGAACGTTGCGATATATGCATATGTATGTATATACGTGTGCAATGATTTTTACCAGCTCTGTTTCATAAATTTTCTTAAGCAAATGTTATAAAATTAAGCAAAAATGCATCTAAAATAAAAATTTAAATATTTAATTATTAAACCTCTTGATTATTGCAAAGATAAATATCTACTGTTACACAATCATACGTTTACAAAATGAATTTAAACTGTTTATAAAACTTACAGAAAAAGTTCTTGCAACAGGACTTTCATAACAAGAGTCAGCAACTCATATTTTTAAACTGTGTCAATGTCGTCATCAGTAACTTCTAAAACATCGGAGTACATTGATTTGTTGGCATTCAGGAAAGTAGATTGTCGCGATAAGAGCTTTTTAACTTCCATGAATTAAAATGGCGCACCCGTCATTCAATGATTATTTATTTATTAGTCGTTTTGCTTTCAGTTGTTGTAAGGAAATGAATCTTGAAAACGCATCTAAAAGTCTAATTCATTTATTTAGCCAATAAAAAATAATTTTGTAATAAGTTTTTTATTTCGTTTTAATTATGCTTATTCCAACTGCATGACTTAAGCAGTTATGCGTTTCTTCTGACCAATGGCTATATTATTATATTATAATATAATAAACGTTTATTAAACGTCGATCAAACGTTTAAAATAGCGACTTATATAAGTCAATATTATAAACGTTTAATCGACGTTTGATAAACGAATTTATATTAAAAGATTTAAAGCTTAGATTTTAAATCTATAAATGTTTACGTTTAGTTAAGGTCGATTAAAGGTTTACAATTTTGACTAATGTAAGTCGATATTCTAAACGTTAGATAGACGTTTAGTAAACGTATATAGAAAAAAAGTTTGAAGTATACATTTCAAATCATGTGTCGATTTTGAATCAATAATTGGTCGCTAAATGTTTTATTTATTTTTCGACCGATTTCGACTTAATATTTA